TTTCATAAATAACAATATTTATCACAAGAATTAAATTATTTTTAAATTTTTATACAATTTTAATCGAATTCCTTGAAAAATGTAACTAAAAAATTTTTTATTAAAATTCGTCAAAAGAATTCAATTATTTAAAAATTTGTTAATAAAATTATTTATGGGAATTGAATTTTAAAAAACATTGAATTATTCAATAAATTATTTATGTTTGTGTTTAAATAATTGAATTCTCGTAGAATTTTCTAATAAAAATTGATTTAAAAATTACTTTCAATTAAAGTGTTAGATAATAATTGAATTTTAAAATATTTTAAAATAGTTTCAAATAATTGCAATTTTCAGGAATAATTGCATTTTGAAAAGGTTTCAAATTTCAGGAATTTTAATAAAATTCATCGCGAAATTCAATTATTTTCATTAATAGCAATATTCATTACAAGAATTCAATTATTTAAAAAAAATTTAATAATATTATAAGCAAACCTTTAATTATTTTCATAAAATAATAAAAATTTCACAGAAATTCAATTACTTACAAATTTTTTATAAATTTTTTTAAAATCATTCAATTATTTTCATAAATAATAAAAATTTTACAGGGATTCAATTATTTTCATAAATAATAAAATTCTTTTTAGGAATTCAATTAGTTTCATGAATAACAATATTCATCACAAGAATTCAATTATTTTGAATACAAAATTTTAATCGAATTCCTCGAAAAATGTACATTTGTTTATTTACTCTCGAAAAATGTAATTATTCTAAAAATTTTTTATTAAAATTTGTCAAAAGAATTTAATTATTTAAAAATTTCTTTATGAGAATTCAATTTTAAGAGAAATTCAATTATTCAATAAATTATTTAAATTTGTATTTAAATAATTGAATTCTTGTGAAATTTTCTAATAAAACATGATTTAAAAATTACTTTCAATTAAAGTGTTATATAATAATTGAATTTTAAAATAGTTACAAATAATTGCAATTTTCAGGAATAATTAATTGCATTTTGAAAGGTTTCAAATTTCAGGAATTTTAATAAAATTCATTACGAAATTCAATTATTTTCAAAAGTAATAAAATTTTTTACAGAAATTCCATTTTGTTCAAAAATTTTTAAATTCTTCTTAGGGATTCTATTTTTTTCACAAATATTAAAACTCATCGCAGAATTTCAATTATTTTTAATACAATTTTAATCGAATTTTTCGAAAAATGTATTTATTCTTAATAATTTTATTAAAATTAGTCGAAAGAATTCAATTATTTAAAAATTTGTTGATAAAATTCTTTATGAGAATTGAATTTTAAGAAACATTCAATTATTCAATAATAAATTATTTATTTTTCTATTTAAATAATTCATTCATTTATTTATGTTTGTATTTAAATAATTGAATTCTCGTAAGATTTTCTAATAAAAATAAATTTAAAAATGAATTTCAGTTAAAATTTTAGATAATAATTGGATATTAAAATCATACCATTAATTTTTAGAAATATAATTGAATTTTGAAATTAATTTATTTTTAAAAGTTTAATTGATTTTTTTAAATATTATTTGAAGTTTTTATTTTCTATTATATTTTTAATTAAAAAATTTACGAATTGAAATTTCGTAAAATTGAATATTGTAAACAAATGGATTTGAAAATTGTCAAAGAACTTTTTCAAAAACTTTTGCGATTCCAATCATATTTTGTTTTTTATTTTTTTCCTTTTGCCATTCGCCGCTACTTTCAGAATGAAATATAGAAAAGTAATAGAACGCTCTGATTACCATGGAAAGCAACTATTGTTCGGACTTACTTTGCCATAGTTGTAAATAAGTTTCTGTTGTTGGAGTGAACTTCCGGTGTACTTAAATCGAAAGGGAAGTGCAATATAAACTGCGAGTAAAATGGAAGAATTTAGAGAAAATGGAAACTAAAATTATTGAGAAACGAGAAGAGCGAGAAGAACGAAAAAAGAAGGAAAACAAGAAAGAAGAGAAAAAATAAAAAGAAGAAAAAGGAAAAAAATGAAAAAAAAATTCATTTTCTCGAGAAGATTAAAATTTTCTAATACCGATATTAAAGAAAAAAATCCTACACCGTAAAACTAACAGTAAAGCTGATGAATTTATTATACATTCAATGCCTGAAAAGTGAGAAGGTGTTAAAGATAAAACTCCCAAAGAAGAAGAAGAAGATGAAAAAAAAAATAAAATTCAAAGTTTATTTCTCGGATCTCCTCTCATCGTTACTTGATCGCGGGATGAAGACTGCGCGTGAAGGCTTAAAATAAAGACGCAAAAATCTTATAAGATTTCCGAGCAAAAGAATGTTCAATCGTTGAAGAAAACCACTCACTTGTATATAATCCCCTTTTGCTTCGAGGGAAGCGCGTTAATTGCATTCTTCAAGGAACTCGAAAAGAAAAGAAAAACAGAAAAACAGAAAAATCTTTCGAAACTTAATTTTTGATTGTAACAAAATCATAGTAGAGATAACGCACAACAAATCAGGAAAAAAGTAGTAATAATTTAATTTTTTTTTATGTAAATTGCATTCGATGCATCATGAAGATAATGCTGACAAATTTCAAATACCGCATGACTTGTAAGAAATTAAACCGTGTACTTTCTACTTTGTCTCGGTTGTTTATAATCTGATTGGATAAAGAGAGAAAAATTTTCTGAGAGAAATAAGTGTGTGCACAGTCAATCGTGAAATTGCATAATCAATTTATAGAAATATTCAATAGGTAATGTCGGTTTTTGAGAGGAGCAATTATTAAATCAAACTTTGTGGCTTTTGAAAGGAAAACCAATTAAATGATGTTTTTTTTTATTTTTATTTTTTTACCTATATTAATTGGACTTTTCTATGAAATTAAAATTATTGTGACAATAATGTCAATTTATTTATTGTAACTTATAATATTATTCATTTTATTTAAAATAATTTTTTATCCTTCCGTATATTGTTAATAAATAATATTTGTTCGATTCAAGGAAGAAATAATTAAATAAAACAATAAATTTTCATTTTGTTGACAACGTTGTTGACAACATTATTCATTTTATAACTGACATAAAATACTTTAGAAGAATTTTATTTGAAATTCTAGAAATAATTGCCTTTTTACAAGATAGTTTATTGAAATTACATTTTTGAAAATAATTGAATTCCTACGAAGATATTTATTATTTTTCAAAATACTTGAATAATTTTAAAGAATTTTATGTAAAATTCTAAAAATAATTGAGTTTTACCAAAAAAGTTTATTAAAATTGCATTTGAAAATAATTGAACTCCTATACGAAGAAATTTATTATTTTTCCAAATAATTAAATAATTTCAAAGAATTTTATGTAAAATTCTAGAAATAATTAAATTTTTACAAGAAAGTTTATTAAAATTGCATTTGAAAATAATTGAATTCCTACGAACAAAATTGATTATTTTTAAAAATAATTGAATAATTACAAAGAATTTTATGTAAAATTCTAATAATAATTGAATTTTGCTAAGAAAGTTTATTAAAATTGAAAATAATTGAATTCCCACGAAGAAATTTATTATTTTCCAAAATAATTGAATAATTTTAAAGAATTTTATGTAAAATTCTAAAAATAATTGAATTTTACCAAAAAAGTTTATTAAAATTGCATTTGAAAATAATTGAATTCCTGAGGAAAATTTTTTTTATTTTTCAAAATAATTGAATAATTTCAAAGAATTTTATGTAAAATTCTAGAAATAATTAAATTTTTATAAGAAAGTTTATTAAAATTGCATTTGAAAATAATTGAATTCCTACGAACAAAATTGATTATTTTTCAAAATAATTGAATAATTACAAAGAATTTTATGTAAAATTCTAATAATAATTGAATTTTGCTAAGAAAGTTTATTAAAATTGAAAATAATTGAATTCCCACGAAGAAATTTATTATTTTCCAAAATAATTGAATAATTTTAAAGAATTTTATGTAAAATTCTAAAAATAATTGAATTTTCCCAAAAAAGTTTATTAAAATTGCATTTGAAAATAATTGAATTCCTGCGAAGAGTTTTATTGTTTATGGAAATAATTGAAATTCCGACAAGAATTTTATTTAAATTGTGCTAAAAATAATTGAATTCCTGCAAAGAGTTTTATTGTTTGTGGAAATAATTGAAATTCCGACAAGAATTTTATTAAAATTGTGCTGAAAATAATTGAATTTCTGCGAAGAAATTTATTATTTGTAAAAATAATTCAATTCTTTTAAGGGAGTTATAACTAAAATTACATTAAAAATAATTGAATAATTTTAAAGAATTTTATGTAAAATTCTAGAAATAATTGAATTTTCACAAGAAAGTTTATTAAAATTGCATTTGAATTTCTGCATTTGAATAAATAAATGAACTCCTTACGATCAAAATTAATTATTTTTAAAAATAATTGAATAATTACAAAGAATTTTATGTATAATTCTATAATAATAATTTAATTTTGCTAAGAAAGTTTATTAACATTATATTTAAAAATAATTGAAATCCTGTGAAGAAATTTATTATTTATTAAAAATAATTGAATTCCTGCGAAGAGTTTTATCGTTTCAGGAAATAATTGAAATTCCGACAAGAATTTTATTAAAATTGTATTAAAAATAATTTCATTTCTTCGAAGAATTTTATTGTTTAGAAAAATAATTTAATTCTTTCAAGGAATTCATAATTAAAATTACATTACAAATAATTGAATTCCTACGGGTAGTTTTGTTATTTATGAAAATATTTTAATTCTGTTCGTTTCGTTTCGTTTGCGAGAGAATTTTCATGCCGTCTAGACGGCAATTTAGTGAACTATATTGGCGCGAAATTCAAAAAAAAAGAAAAATTTATTTAACAATAAATTAATTAATATCGATAAAAAAATAATGTAAATTTCTAAGTTGTTCTTTTCTTACTCAAAACTACTGTTATAAAATCTTAAATAAAAAAAATGTAAATTTATTTCTGTTGTAGGTTGAAGGCGGATTTTCTCAAAATTGGTTCAATTGAAAAGTATCATAAATTGCTCTCAAAAAGAAATCTATCCTTTTCGCTGATAGAAAAAAATTGCAAGGATCATCAGGATTGTATATATGAAAAAGGTAATTTAAAAGTTTTACATAATTCTATTTACTAGCACCAAATTTTTCAAAAACATTTCAATAGAAATTATTTTTTAAAGATTATTTACCTTATTATGAAAAAAAAATAGAATTTTCGATATTAATTCGAACTGAAAAGAATTAACATTAATTTTTATTTCATTGAATAACCTCTCGCAAAATTGAAGGGGGGTGTAGAAAAAAATAACTTAATTATTGACATTAGAGCGAGTTTTACGTGCGAGATTGAAACTGGTTTATATCTTTACCGAAAGAAAGCCATCTGGAGTATAAAATGTCGAAAAATTTCAAGAAAAAAGAAAGAAATTAAGAAAAAAAGCAAAAAAAGAAAAAAAAAGAAACCGGTTAAATGGAAGAAGCGCGTCGCGTCGTCCAAGCGATGAAAGGTTAATTCCCTCCAAATCTGGTTCGTAATTAGTCATGCTCTTCAAAAAGATACTATAGTCCTGATAACGAAAACCTCTCACGACTCATGCAAACCTTTTTCACAAACTGCTAGGCCTCTCATTCTCTCTCTCTCTCTCTTTCACGTCTCACAAAGTAATAGTTACATATCTCAAAGAACTAATTGACTATTAATGTCGTGTCACCAAAGTAATTGGAGGACCCGGTTTATACAGTTAAACCGCGCGACGAAAAAGATTATAATGTTTGCAGATAATACAGCAGCAATAAAATTCCAACAATCCGGATATAATGAGCAAGGGGAAAAAATTGGCCAATTTTAAAAAAACGAAAATTATCTTTCAACATGTTGTAAAATTTGTATAAAGTATTTTAATTGTAATTTAATTACGTACAATTTAATTAAGCCGAGAGTAGAAATTTCTTTAAGCAACACTTTTTATTTTTTATTACTATTTTTATTTTCTATTATACATAATAATAATAATAATAATATTCTAATATTAATATAAAATCTTATATATTAATAACTAAATAGCAAAACATTCTGTTAAAATTGCGCAATTTATAAAAAAAAAAAAAATTCAATTCCTGCGAAGAATTTTATTCAATTTTTTAAAAATAATTAAATTTTTATAGAAAATTGGATTAAAATTTTAAAATTAGTAATTGAATTCTTTCGACAATTTTTTTAAAATTAATAATGAAAATAATTGAATTGCTCCGAAGAATTTTATTATTTGTATTAAAAATATTTGAAATTTTGCTAAGAATTTGATAAAAATTTTAAAAATAATTATTATTTTTAAAAATAATTGAATTATTTCCAAAAATATTATTTAAAATTATAGAAATAATATTGAATTCTTTAAACAAATTTCCTTAAAATTGTGTTGAAAATAATTGAATTTCTGCGAAGAATTTTATTATTTATAAAAATAATTCAATAATTTTTAAGAATTTTATTTAAAATTCTAGAAATAATTAAATTTTTCCAAGAAAGTTTATTAAAATTGAAAATAATTGAATTCCTGTGAAGGAATTTATTATTTATAAACATAATTGAATAATTTAAAAAAAATTTTATTTAAAATTATAAAAATAATATTGAATTTTTTAAACAAATTTTTTTAAAAATTTTATTCAAAATAATAGGATTCCTACAAAGAGTTTTATTCTTTATAGAAAATAATGGAAATTCCGACAAAAATTTTATTAAAATTGTATTAAAAATATTTGAATTCCCATAAAGAATTTTATTATTTGTGAAAATAATTGAATTCTTGTAAAAAATTTTAGTAAAATTTTTTAAAACAATTGAATTCCTATAGGAGAATTTTATGATTTGTGCAAATAATTGAATTTTTGTTAAAAATTTTAGTAAAATTTTTAAAAATAATTGAATTCCTACGAGTAGTTTTATTATTTATGAAAATAATAATTGAAATCTTTTGAAGAATTTAAAAAAAAAATACTTGTAGACAATAAATAATGTTAATTTATTAATAAATCACATTTTAACTAATTAGTTAAGATGTGATTTTTTTTAATTTCAAATAACATATGTTTCACAAGAATGCGTTTCTCTAATTTTTGTCGCACTTTTACAATTTTATGCGAAAATAATTAAATTCTTTCGATGAGGAATTGTATTAAAATTTTTAATAATATCTAATTAAAATATTTTTAAAAATTAAAAATTCCTAAAAAAAATTTCGAAAAAAATGAAAAAGAATTATTAAAAAAATTTAATATAAAATTAAAAAATTTGTATTTCGTAAAAAATTCTTTTACTCTCGCTTTTAAATATTTTTTTTTATTTTTTGCATTTATGAGAAGAAGACGCTTGTCTACCTTTCTTTTGATGCTTTATCAAAAATTCGTTTTGCATTTGCCTGTCATTTCGTATATATAATATTCTTCGGCCGATTACCACCAGACGGTCAGATGAGATTTAAATCCCTGGCAATTTTACAGAACGTGATCTCTTCTCCAAAAAATTAATTAGCTTCAGAGAAATGAAACGACTACTTAAATATGTTTAAAACACATTTCTCTTTATGAGCTCTTTTTTTTTATTCTCCACATTTTTTTTTTATTTTAATTTAGTAAATTTTTGTAAACGTTATTATATTTTCATTTTCATTCCAAAATATGGATGATAATCCATATTTTGGAATGAAAATTATATAATTTTACTACTGCAAATTTAGAGAGTAGTAACCTCATTTTTAATTTGAACGCGAACGGCAGAATTATCAACAAGTAGATAATGTTTATGGTCGTTTTAATTTTTCATCGGGGAAAACGGCGGAGGATCAATTAACGTTATTAATTTTTGCCTCTATCATTTTTACTTCTCTTAATCTTTTTCTTCTTCTTTTACACTTTTTACCATTTCTCTCAAGAGGAAGAAAGCAAATTTTTTTTTGTCCTTTTTAGTTCCTACTCCTACTTTGAAGGGATTTTGTCGAGACGTACGTACGCGTACCATGCGAGCTTTGAAGTATTCCGTATATGTATTTATTATATTGTATATGTATTCTTTTGTTTGTATATATGATACACCTACGCATTGCGTTTGATATCCCGGAGCGTTTAATGTATTCACCCCTCTTTCACTGGCATAGAGGTTTGCTCGAGCATGCTAATTGCGTTTAGGACAATAGTGGGATTCCACCTCGCAGTATTCATGCACTTTTCTCCTCGACCCAGGCGCGTAGGAGTTGTGTAGTGCCAAAAGGGGCAAACGCCAAAAAAACACGAGGCAAAAAAAACCATTTTCATTTCCCTCATTTATACAGTAGTATAACTCTAGTTCTATTTCTCTACAGTTTATTTTATACTGTGTAGTAGACACGTCAGTTGATTCCGCATTCATTAAAATTAATTAAATTAATTTACATCTTCTTCTAAATTAACATTCCTTGTGAGCATTTTGATAAATCATGATTCACTGATTTTAATCTCAGAGCAGAAGAGACACTTAACACCCAACCTGTTCCGTTGGGATATACTTTTCATTAATATATAAAACGGAATAATTGAGAAATTAACAAACATGCGTTTCGGTTTTTTTTTTAATTTCTAGCAGGCTTCGTACTCATCTACTAAAACTACTACTACTACTACTGTTTACTACACTAAAAAAAGGTTCTAAATTCGAGCTGATTTTTTCTGTGATAGTTCTTTCAGAAAGAGCTCGATGTTACCATGACTTTAAAAAAAGGCAAAACTTTCGTTCTTAACCATTAGAGAGAAAAATCGCTAAAATTTAAGATCGTTATTACCAGTTCGAGATTATGTAAAAAAATAAAAAAATAAAATAAAATATTTGCATTTGCAGAAAAAGAAAATTCTGAAATGGAAATGGTATGTCCCCGCTGGCAAATTTTTCTATTTGTATTGTATATTTTCTCTATCTGTAAATACCACGCTTCTTGGCGTTTTACACATACATATATGCCCAACACAACAAACTTGGAGTCCCACTGGGATTCTAAAGTGAGATAAATCAAGACGATGTTTGCAGTATATGCCATAAATTCACATATGGTTATGTATAAATACTCTGTAGCGAAGAAAATTTTAATAAATCCTAAAATTTGATTTTTCGAAATTTCAAGAATTGGAAAGAATAAAAGGATTTAATTTTATAAGTAGATTTACGCTCTCAGAGTATTAGGTATACATGTGATCAATTATTTGCGATCACAATGAACTCCATTTATGATGATGATGAATTTATCGATTCATCATCACTCGTGAGGCTCGCGAGTAAGAAGATCTATTGTGTGCGTATAGATAAAGTCATCTTTTATAAGATAGCTGTCTATTGTAGACGTGCCTTTTTTTCTCCCCTTCTACTACATGAGAGATAAAAATTTTATTTATGCAACTACCTGTCAATAATCGATAATACACTGTCATCTGGAGAATAAATGAATGAACCCTGGTTTATAATCTGATCAAGAAGAATATACTCATACTGGATCAAAAAAACGAGAGGAAAAAGAAAAAAAAAAGAGGGAAAAAATAGTAATAATATGATACCAAGTGTGTAAACATGCATTTTCTCTGCACTATCAGATCAATCAAGTTTTCTCCATAAAAAAATGGATTTTTTTTTGTACATTAAGGTATAAACCGTCCAATCGATTGCCTCACAGAACGGACTGTTTTTAATGATCATGATGATCTTGATCATATTTTTGTTTTGTCATTGATTGAATTTGACTCTTGATTCATTTCTCTTTTCTTTTACTACTTTTATAGTAAAACATTTCTGGTAAATCATTTCTGGTAAATCATTTCTGGTAAATCATTTCTGGTAACGTTTACTACTTTCAGAGTAAATTTTGCTACATTTCAAGTAAATTTTACTAATTTTTTTCCAAATATGTTCCTGAACATAGTAAAATGTACTTGGAACGTAATTAAATGTAATTGAAAAGTTAAGCAGAAGCAGAGCAACGATGGTTGGGAATAAAAACAGTATAGGGGTGTGAGCGCTACCCCTTAACCTGTTGCATAAAATCAATACCGTTCTGAACTCATGGTGGAGAGGCATTAGG